ATTTTTTCTGCGGTTAGATCTCATGGTCTATAAAGTTAACTTTTCTTGAAGGTCCAATTGCAGTAGATTTAATTAGCTTTGAATTCTGAACAATTATCACAACACATATTCGTATTATGACGCAGCAATCCTGCTATACCCCTGCTTGGGGTGTTGTAGTGTTGATCGAGTTCTATCGATGACGTTTGTAAACACCGCAACGCGTTTGCTGTGTGGCTCTATATGTTGAGCGTTGTTAGGTGTCGTCAAGTTCTGTAGTTAGATGACAAAATTATAAGCTACAACGCGTTTATATGGTAAAATTATAGTTATCACCGCGTACGTATACAAGCAATGCAACACCACGTCTTTCTAATACATTTTAGGTTACGGAGTCCAATGTTCGCTGACGACCATTTCAGGATGGAACGTATTTGCGATGTGCACCTCATGGCTTCCATAGGTCGGCCTATTGACATAGGTGATGATCATTATTTTAACATTCGAATATCAAGCATCTGACTCTTATTTCAATCTACGGAGGTCGTTAGCGCTCAACTCACACGCTTTGCAAAGCTTGCCTGAGTAAAATAAATAAAAAGCGATGTGGCCGATAAAGCTACCTGGATTTTTTCTTTGATGTTATGTTTTTGGTGTTGCCAACACCCGTAACTTTCCGACAAACTGCACTCAAGGACTGAAAATGTTTAGATATTCGTCTCAGTACAAGAAAATCTGCTGCACAAATCACTCGTAGGCATGGCTTACGCTAAGCAAACATCTCTGCACCACATGCCGGTCTGTGTGGTGCAAGAAAAGGTTCGCTGCACCACATGCCGGTCTGTGTGGTGCAAGAAAAGGTTCGCTGCACCACATGCTGGTCTGTGTGGTGCAAGAAAAGGTTCGCTGCACCACATGCTGGCCGGGGCGCGGTTTATTGCCGAGGTTTTACGACTTGTTTATCAGCGCTGGCGGCGCGACCTGGAGTTACGCGCCTCTGTCACGCCAACTTACGACGGTCGTAGGTTCAATATATTTCCTAGAGTGTCGGGTGTTTCTGGGGTTGTATCATCAAAATTCGCTTAAGTACACGTAGCGCCCTAAGAACACGTAGCGCCCTAACTACACGTACCGCCCTAAGTACACGTAGCGCCCTAATTACACGTAGCACCATAAGTACACGTAGCGCCCTAAGTACACGTAGCGCCCTAAGTACACGTAGCGCCCTAAGTACACGTAGCACCTTAAGTGCACGCAGAGGCCAATTTCTCGTCCGTGATTGGTGGTTTTAGCTTGCACAACCGTCAGTGATCGTAGCTTTTTCTTGACAGTACGGCCAGTCGTCCGTGATTGGCTGACGAAGTTACGAGCCTGCAACTATTTTCGATAGTATAAGGCCGCTGGGCGCTGAACCGTCGTAACTTCGGTTTCTTCTTTTACGCTGGGAAGGCTTCACGGGAAAACCTAGAGGTTATTGGAAAGCTCTCAGCGTAATTATTATGGAGGTTGAATCCCGGAACTCTACGTTAATCTTTTCTGCTAAAATGCACTACAACTGAATGAAATTTTCCCTTATGAAGTACCGTAACTGCTAAGCAGTTATCGGTTCTGAACTCCCACTTTCTTGGACCAATTTTCTTTCCTTTATATTTTTTGGAGTAAAAAATGCGTATGATACGCCAAAATAGGAGCAAGTAATTCTGTTACTGAACGTCTGGAAATTTTTATAAGACGGCATAACGCAGCTGATGTACGCCAAATGAGCGGCGTTTGTTACAAGTCGTGTCGGTCGCGTCGCATTTTGAATTCCCGACGAATTCCGAATTGGGACAAAGGAGGCATGAATATAACACTAGTAGAAATTTGGACAAAGTCTAACTTAGACTTATGATATATTTCTTGATAGAAGTCATTTTCTGAAAGGTTGACTTCCATAGTGTAGGTAATCAAACTCTGTGCGTTCCTACGAATTCATAGAATATTATAATAAAGCAGTTTAATTCAGTATTTCTCGGGATATCTAATTAGTGTGATATGTAAATTACGTTATCCGGACTCCATAATCCCATCATCCCGCGTTACTCCGAATTCCAGAACTAATTTTTAAACTAAGGTAATGTTCTTAAACGAAAGATCAGAACGATCAAAAAGACCCATGTATTCAACTCCCAAACCTTACGATTAGAACAATATTGACGACAGTTCTTGTAGCCGGAGACGAAGTGCAAATACAAAATATCAACTATTGTAGTATAATTTGACCCTTATATGATATGGGCAATGGGCTTCGCTAGCCTCTAAAGTGTGACACTCAATGGCATCGCTGTTCCCTGTAGTGCGATGCGCTGTTCATTAGATGAGCAATTCATCACCTACGTTCATTTCCGTTGGTGATTTTCAGGCTTTCAACATCATCAGAAAGTCGTCTAACGTAACGTAACGGTTTGTCTTCGGCCTGAGAATACATACGTTTCAAGCTTCATAAACACCGTTATTTATTCTCTATTACCGGTTTTGTTTTAGCAAAATATAATTATAATCTCTTCGGAGGTTGTACGATATCTGAGAACAATAGATTAAAAAGAACAGTTTACCGTCTAGCAATACGGAATTAATGAAGCATGAGAGCTGCAAACTTTGGAAGATAAGGAAATTTTAGCAAATAAGTATTCAACAATATATAAGTTATGTATCTGCCGGGGAATCCAACAACTCAAGTTAGAACGCCTAAACAACAGTTCTGTTTTGCTTGCTGTTTAGAATCGTTTTTATCGCGCGTTGTTTATGTCTGAGTCTCATTGTTGCCTGTTAGAAGACTGCGCCTGAGACGGCGAACAATCGCACAAATGTTGCCCTCGAAGTCTTCAGCTGACATCGACTGATCAGCTGTCTGAGGGAACCGAGCGCTCCTGAGGGTTACTGATGGCCGTGCTGCGCTGATGGTCGTGCTGCGCTGATGGCCGTGCTGCCCTGATGGCCGTGCTGCACTGATGGCCGTGCTGCGCTGATGGCCGTGCTGCGCTGATGGCCGTGCTGCACTGATGGCCGTGCTGCACTGATGGCCGTGCTGCACTGATGGCCGTGCTGCACTGATGGCCGTGCTGCACTGATGGCCGTGCTGCACTAATGGCCGTGCTGCACTGATGGCCGTGCTGCACTAATGGCCGTGCTGCACTAATGGCCGTGCTGCACTAATGGCCGTGCTGCACTAATGGCCTTGCTGCGCTGATGGCCGTGCTGCACTGATGGCCGTGCTGCACTGATGGCCGTGCTGCACTGATGGCCGTGCTGCGCTGATGGCCGTGCTGCGCTGATGGCCGTGCTGCATTGACGGTAATGCTGAAGAACTCTTTAGCTGCCGCAGGGTCGCCTGCATTCCTGTCAAATGCGGCCCCAAGACGCGATAATAATATCATAATAAATTAAATATAAAATTACAAACAGCCTGAACTAATTCTGTTACTTATAATATCTTACTACATTAATTTTTAGCTATTTTCCTCTATTCAACTTTATTTGAAGCGTCTCGTTCTGAACAAAATAATTGACTTGATGGGCAGTGAAGATAGCAGGTTTAGATCGCCTCCTCCTCGTGTTTATTTACATTGCAAGCTAAGAAATTGCCTCGAGTCTCTACTGTTATTTCTGAGGCACGAAAGCTTGTATTTTTACCCGCGCTGTCCACCGCCTCGGCTCCATGGAAGCTTTCTCGCTAAATCTCCTGCCGCTGCCGGAAATGATTTAGCGGGAAAATGTACGGCATGTGCATGAGGAAGTGCGTCGCAGACACGTGAAATGTTGGACAAATTGCACGTGTTATGGGAGGAGGAACGCTGGCCATTCAACGGCCGCCTTTAATAAAACATGCAACTATCTTCTTTGCGCATGGAGTGCCAGTCAATCTTCAGACGCTGGATTCTGCGATATATTCCAGTGCCTGGAGTTGACAGAAAATTGAGAGTGCATTACACTGCATTAATTGCACCGCTCTAGATCGTTAAACACGTTATACCGCACTATACATTTCACCGCTCTAGGCCGTGACACGAAAAATTCACCGCATTAAATTGTACCTCACCAGATCATATAGTAACGCGCTACATTATAATTAACTTTAATGTGCCGCACTGCATTGTACCTATAGATCATAGAGTAACCCACTATATTATAATTAACTTTAATGTGCCGCACTGCATTGTACCTATAGATCATATAGTAACGCACTACATTATAATTAACTTTAATGTGCCGCACTGCATTGTGCACCATCAGACCACGCCGCACTCTCAGATAATTGAGAGTATACGTCGTCGCATAAGATTGTTGGTAAATCCTTACATTGCTTAATTGGAATGAATTTATTGAATGAATAAAACTTGTTGCTTAATTGTACCCTATAGCAGATGCTTAGCGCCTAGTATAATTTCACGAAAATTTGAGTGTTAGTTTGGACCAGCAAATGGGCTGTCAGTGCGGCCGTTACGTTGTTATAGCGCGTAATCCGCTACTCGCTGTTGATGATCGGGATCATTTTAGTGGCATTGCAAACATGCTTTGGAAAGTTATTCCTGGCCTATTTATGTTGCGGAATGTGCATGCGTCAGACAAACGCCACACGGTTTGAAGAAGTCGTTACGGTGAATCCATTTGAGCTGAAGAAAAATTGAATGATTTTTTACTAATATTCAATATGGAAGTAATGTCTGTTTAACGAGCTCCATATGCGGATGGTCATCGCCATACGTATCGGCTATCGTTTCCGTAGTAAAACCGTTGAATTACCGCACTGATCATTACCATGTCATTTACCAGCCTTAACCTGGTGCCGTGCACACTTTTATTGAATTGCTTGTTGCCCGCCATGTTGCTGCATTACGTTATACAAGCTGCATCATGTGCTGCTGCCTCGTGTACAGCTGCATCATGTACAGCTACGTCATGTGCAGCTACGTCATGTGCAGCTGCCTCATGTGCAGCTGCCTCATTTGCAGCTGCCTCATGTGAAGCTGCCTCATTTGCAGCTGCCTCATGTACAGCTGCCTCATGTGCAGCTGCCTCATGTGCAGCTGCCTCATGTGCAGCTGCCTCATGTGCAGCTGCCTCATGTACAACTGCGTCATGTGCACTTTGACGTGTCGACACGTCAAGGCGCAGCGTGCGAAGTTCCACGGACGCCTGACACGTCATTAAAGTTGGTGTGGTCACCGCGATGTCCGGGCATATTGAGTACCTACCTTAGTGTTTGTTGTGGAGACTTCCTCCTAGGCTGAGGGTTTATTGTCCTCCTTGGCTGGGGGTTTATTGTCCTCCTTGGCTGGGGGCTTATTGTCCTCCTTGGCTGAGGGTTTATTGTCCTCCTTGGCTGAAAGCTGCTTGTCCTCCTTGGCTGAGGACTTCTTGTCCTCCATGGACAGTGGCACAGCGCTTCTTGACATCCTGGAAACAGTGGTCCTTGCCTGATTTCTGGGGACTTTTTACATGCCTGATAATAGGCTGGAGTCCCGCTTGGCAGGATCATGTCGTTTCAAGTCTCTTGAGCAAGGATTCAGAGGCATCTTTGCTCATGACTTGGCATCCTTGACGACAGATTTCTTGTGCTTCGTGCTTCTTTGTAGGTACTGCATTTCCTTGCATTCAAGGCACTTAATTTCTTCCAAGGCAACATTGGCATAAATCCTTAGCATTTACAGCATACTTGGCAGGACCAATCTTAAACCTGCCCCCTTCTTTCTGCGAGGGGAGGCTCCTCCCCTCCTGCCCCCCCACTCCCCTCGCTAACTAATGGGAATTTCCCGACGCAGTCTGGGGAAATTCGCGTCATTTTTTGGTCCGCCATTCTTACATTGGTTTAGTAATCATACCGACCTTCGTTGTATGCCTCCAAATTTAGATTATACGTGCATGCCAAGCCGTACCGCTATGAAAAGATTGGCTTGAAAATTTGTAGAGTCCAATAACAGGCGTACATTTTGCTAGCATACGCTAAAACTAGCATAAATGACTATTTCGACTCGAATATGCATTAAGAGCATATAGCTTTACGGAACTGGTGCGCAAGTTAGTCCTCCCAAAAGCAAAACATTGCTCGCATGAGTAACTCTTGAAATGTGTTTTCCTCTTGGTTCAACGTAGACAAATTTGTAGGTTGACGTTATTTTCTATAACTATCGGACCAAAAAATTCAGGCAGCCACGACACGTTTTTCCGGCGATGTTTTCAGACCATTTCGAGACTTGGCTTCGTTAATTTCATAGGAATCCTGGGTTGATGCTGATTAAGATGCACAAGTGTGCTCCGTAGATCACGAAGCCTCTCTGTACTCCGTCGTGCAGCTTGTATGATCTTTTTTAATGCATTATTCGATGGCAAATCAATAACAAAGGCTAACTTGACGGGTAATCCGAGAAAAAATTAACGGCGTCTGGACAAAAACTTTAGGAATTCCCTTCTTTAGGCGCTTGAGCTCCAATGGGGCTTTTGTCTCTGCTTTACTGCCTAAAAAATCCTCTCCATCGACTGGAGTTTAATTGAATTGCCTAGAATTCTCAACAATGGAAGCACGTACGAAACGTCTTCGTTTGGGCGCAGGCTCGGGAGCAGCTGGTGTTTCATAGCACGAAAAGTTTACATTCGTGCGAATATCTCAACCGTGGATTATTCATCAAGCATGAATGTAATTAGGGGATTCAAGTGCACAGTAATATGATTAGTGGGTGTTGATGGTGAGGATGAAGTGAGCGGTGCTTTTGGAGGGGCTTGGTGCAGCGCTTAATTTCCTGCCTTATAATTCAATTAATGGAGCTCGAGGAGAGAGGCTCGTAAATTTGAATTAGGACACTTTTTATGGGAGCGCCGGAGGGGTGCGTAAACTTTGCCTTCACGGAGTGGCGGTTAGACCCTCCGCTGCCAGGGCTGGAGGGATCCGTAAACTTTTCTTTTGCGGAGTGGCAGCTGGCTAAAGAAGTGCTTCAGAATTTTTGTTAAAGGAGTGCCAGTTAGACCCTCCATTGAATGAGCTAGAGAGTTGCTTGAGAACAGCTAGAATACCTTCAACGCCTTATAACATTTTACACCCTCTTTGTTAAAAAATTAATCTAAACGAAGAACATTGTGCGAGATGTGTGTTTGAAAGCTAAGATAAAAACCAAGCCAACATACTGCTCCGTGTGGTCGTAATGAAGTATTTCAAACGCTGCTTTGCCGACTGTAAGGTGAATGCAATGCAAAATCAGCCGCCTCCCGCGCTACCTACTGTTATAGGCGTGCAATATGCAGTGTCCACTTGCCTACAGGAAATGGATTCGAGACCCTTGCGTTCGTGTGACGACCTGGGTACTGAGTTTAACGTTTGTTGGGTCGTCGGGGTACTGAACTTTGAACTCTTGTGGTCTGACTTCGCGAGGTCGCCGGGTATTTTTTTCTATAAAGGACTACGTGAGTAACCAAAAAAATTGAATTGACTGGTCTTACTTGCGTAAAATCAAGTATCCACGATAAATTTTATTTACGCCTACTACTATTCACCCTCTTTAAGCTCTTGTTAAAAGCACTGCTGTCATTACGATCAATCAGTTAGGCTCTTATTCATCATCTGAACGGAGTTCTGGACTTTAATGTAGCTGAGAAACGCGAGTTCGTGAGTAGTGTAGTAAGCCGCTATTGATTGTCGCTGAGGCAGTGGGGGTGTGGCGACTGATGGACGTTATTGTCACGTCGTCAGCGCCGAAGTCTCTCATTTGCGACCCTCGGTGTGTTTAATCTGGACTTTGTGCTGCACGCTCTCCTGCTTTGCTTTGAGCTATGGGCTGCAGACACGCCATCTCTCGCGCACGCACTTGTTGCTTCTACTACAATGCACTGTCCATTCAATTCATGACAATTAAAGGTCAATGCAATTAAAACTATTAAGATGGTAGGTTTCCGATCAATTATGATTAATAGGAGCTTTATTAAGAGAGGTGTTATAAATGTGTTTAAGCCGCAAAGCCCTGACCGTTCCACGCCACACTCGTGAAAACTTTCACGTGCTTGGGAATGTTCTTGCGTCGAACCATGCCTGTGTGTTGCGTTTGATTGAGATGGGCACTAGTTTTTATTCCTGATAAGTTAGAACTTAGTGAGTTCCATTTGAAAACACGTTTTGTGCATTCTTTTGTGCGGGGGTAAAAGGCATGATAGGTTCCAAAATATAAATGGTAAGTATTTTTGTCATACTAAAGGCCCGTTTACACTAGTGGCAACGACATGCGCTTTGAGTCGTTTGCTGCAGTGCCTCACCGCGCACAACCGTTTACACTACTTTTGTACTCGGTAGTTTGAGACTGCGCGCTTTGAACACCAGTTGCCACCTAGACGTCAATGAGGATGGATGTAACCGAATTTGAGCTGTGGGCCATTGTTCTCGGGTGTGCTGTGGTCCGTCATTCTTCGCACTATGCTAGTTGTAAACGAGAATTTAGCATAGGCATCATAATTAGAGAAGTAGCACATTCAAAATGATACAGTTTATAAAAAAATAGTCTATTCTTAAATAAAAAGTTCTAATATTCGTACCGATATCATATCATCCTTTGAAATCGCTAAACGGTAATGCATAAATTTTCAGGAGTTGCTAAAATCACATAAACTAAACACGTCATGTAGAAATAACTTACATCATTTGCATTTCGATTTTTGTACTCCTTTGAACGAACACTCCATATGCATTCATTTCCTCTATTAAGATCAATTAGGCGTTAGTCGACATTTGGTGTGCCGGACCAGCGTACTCAATCAACCTTACTACTACTAGACCACAGACAGCTATCTACTAACTAAGAATTTAAAAGCAAAGAATAGTCCGCAAAAATTCATATCTTTATAGAAAACGTTTCGGAGACCAGCTTCATAGTCAGTTCGTAGAATCTAGAATCCCAAATCAGAAGTCCAAATGTCACAAATTAATACATTGAAACCATAGAACGAATTGAATTTCTTTAATTAATTAATTTAGATTTTTAATTTGATTTAAATTTTTAATTCAATTTAAATTCTTAGTTAATTTGCGATTTAAGCATACAATTGATATCAATTCTTTAATAGCTATCTGCTAAGCGCCGCGCTTGTGTTGCATGAGGCATGGCCCCTGTCAATCGCTAGCTCGTCAATCGGTCAAGAAGCGCATGCAGAGGCTGCAAAGCGCCTCTGCATGCGCTTTGAGGCACTTGATTCTCGTGTATTGCCCCTAGTGTGAACGGGCCTTTAGAGATGTTATAGTTACGTGATCTTAACTAATTTGAATTTGGTTTTCCGCAGCCGAGATCTGGACGACAGACTTGCATTTGTTTGTCCCTCACGATGACCGCATTGCAGTCCTAGCGACGCTTCAGCCTCCCACTCCCTCCCATGTGACCACCTTATTGCCGCACATGAACCCCATAGTGTCGGAGAGTAACGTGTACTTCAGGAAAGGAACGCGGCAGCAAGGTTCCTCATATCTCCCGCACGACGAACGACTCCCACATTCAGCGTCACTTTTGCGGACACCTGAGAACTTTCATAGCGTCAGGAATCCGGTGAAGGAAGCTGCGTCTTCTTACGTCGGTGGACCTATGCTCGACTTCCTCCGCAGTCAAAATGATCGAAACTCGCCGACGTCTTCATCGAACTCCTTGTCGCGAGTGTCGAGCATCGGTGAGCTGCCGGTAGGCGCTACAATCCCTCTCGCGAACTTGGAGTCGAGCGGTCCCGGTTCTTCTGCGAAGTATAAAGACCGCGAGGACTCGTCTAACTCTATTGCCGAACCAGCAGCCCGGGGTAAACCGATTGATTACATATCAAATCATGACGCGGGGTCTGAAGGTCCTGCTGTGAATGGTCCTCTGTTACTGTGGCGCGGGCTGATTTGGAGACCCGTTTCTCCGGAGTTCCTTAATTTCGTCCTCGCGTTGCTGTTCTACGCTATCAGGTAAATAAGAATTAAAAGTAATGGTCAGAACTTAAGCATAATCTTTAATCTTGTTACAAACAAAGTAATTTGAGAATGAATTTTTTATTTTTATGTATAAATAACTAAGATTCCATATTCATTACGTACGCAACTGTCGTTGCAAAAAATACTTCGTGGTTCTCTGGATGAATATTTAGTAACACACTCGCATCTTCTGAATACCGTCATCAATTACGTGTTTTGACCAGCATATTTCACTTCATATTGCCTCCCGGAACCGATATTTTCTGTCCACTAAATTGTCGAAGTTCATCCATATGCGACTGCAAAACTGACAAAAGCTAAATTTTACCTCCGGTTATTCCACGCCCTGATAGCAACGCTGTCCCCTCAGGTACCCGTCGGTGTTCTGGAGCAGCAACAAGGCGTTCAGTTTGCTGTTCTCGCTGCAGATGGCGGCCACAGGCCTGCACTGCGTGCTGCTCTCCTGCGCCTTCTCCATCCTTTATAAGGCAAGCACTTGTCACGAGTGCTGTGTTTTCTATTATTTTCCGCTGGCAATGGCAAATACGGGAAAATTTTGAAATGATATTGTTTAGTCGTATAGATTCATATGCTTGCCGTCTATAAAGTATTGTTTGTGACGTTTATAATGACTTGCATAATTGCTCGTCGCGTTGAAGCTTGCCTTGCACCACAATGAAATGATAGTTCTCCACTCAAGCAGTTACATGATTGAGACATAAGAAACCAGGTGTTCATTCATTTCCGGTTATTAAATTTCGTAGATGATCACTGTCAGGCAAGCAGGATCAGCACTTCAGCAGGTTCTTTCTATTTGAACTCATTGCATTTACTACCATGCATGTAACCTCGCTTACTTTATATTTAATACCGATTAACCTATTGAAACCTTCATCGTCACACAGTTTTTCATGATTCAAGCGAATATTCCACTACTCATATTAAGATTTTCGTCACAAAGTTTTAACATATTTAAATATATTCATAATTTGAATGTATTTATAATATGCGTGGCATCATGATCCCAACACGTTGCTTTTAACTATACCATGTTGGTGAAGCGCTAGTAAACATTTGGCCACTAAGCTAACTAACTAACTAACTAACTAACTAACTAACTAACTAACTAACTAACTAACTAACTAACTATACCATGTTGACTGACAGTTGCACATGATGGGCGGTGTGCTGGAGCTGCACGGTACGGATGACTTGTTGCTTAGTCTGCCCGTCACTGTCGTGCTCTTTGTGCTCACGATGTTCGTGCTCGTGCTGTCGTGTGCTGCCGTCTACGCTCACGGCTACCACAAATTCGTGCAGTTCGTGTGCCGCAGTCGTCAGAAGTACCACATCTCCGTGAGTGCCACGTTTATTGTGACGTTGTTGCATTTCATATCGTAAACTACAACAATTTCAACTATTCTGGGTGTGGCATTTGGAGTTACTGATGATTGTATCGTTAATTTTTTTCAGTTCCATTTATCGTAAAATACAAAATTTTAATTTTTTCTGCAATTCGTGGCTTAAATAATTTTAACATGAATGGAAAATGACCAAAAATGACCGATGCTTGTGCTGTGCGCCCCACAGTATCAGGAGGAGCCCGCGCCCATTGGCCCGTACACGGGACACATCGCGGGCCTGACGGTGCTGGTGCTGCAGTGCGTCACCTGCGGGCCTCTCATATGGGACATGTCCCGGGTCTACCGAGGGTCGCTGGACTACATCACCCTCATCACCGTCATCTCCACCATCGCACACATCTTCGCATGGATCGCTCTCTGGCTTATATTCACCGTCAAGGTAAGTTCAAGATTTATGTCCAGACTTGAAATATCATTGATTATATCGTCTGAGTTTAAATATTCTGAGTTCAACACCTATCAGTTTACCACTTTTAAATTTGAAAGCGTCCTTTAAACCCTCTACCGTCGTATGTCACTCACTGGGAACATAACTTTCAAGTTGAATTACATGAAAACTATTGAGTGTTGCAACCTGAGGACGTTTGTACGCAACAGAGAACATTTTAAAGTTGTCGTACGTGGCGGCAATTTATACGTAAACTATTGAGTGTAGCAACCTGAGGACGTTTGTACGCAACAGAGAACATTTTAAAGTTGTCGTACGTGGCGGCAACCATCAGTGCAAGTCATTTGGCGCTCACTAGAACGTATCCTTCTTGGGAAGTAGGCTTGTGTGACAATATTGCTCCAGTTACTCATGTCAGGCGGTAGAGGGTTAACTACTAATACAAAGCTACTAACCTTTTCCCTGACGCCCCAGAACAAGTGGGTGTTCAAGCTGCGCGTGACAGTGGCGCGGGCGTGCGTGTCATCGTCGCGGTCCATCAAGCTCGTCAACGACGTGGAGCTGCTGCAGGCGAAGCCTCGTGACGAGCGACACGGTGACGCCGAGGCGCCCCTGCTCGTCGTGGGTCGTGGTCGCGCCTTCGTCGTCCCGCAGGGCGACCACAAGAGGAGTATCATGAGCGTCGTGCATCAGGTTAGACGTGTGCACATGTGTCGGATGTGTTGTGTCGTGCATCAGGTTAGACGCGCGCACATGCGTCGGATGTGTTGTGTCGTGCATCAGGTTAAACGTGTGCACATGCGTCGGATGTGTTGTGTTATGCATCAGGTTAGACGCGCGCACATGTGTCGGATGTGTTGTGTTATGCACGCCTTGCGTTTACATCATGTATTGCTAGCAATTCATTAACTAGAATTTTTCTTCCGAGAACTACTGATCAAAGTAAAATATAACTGTGCAAACTGTGCAGGATTCCTAGAGGAATCTAGTACAAACATTCATAATAAAAGTAAATAATGAGTTAATAACAATTAGACTGTGCAATATAATGTGTTAATTATTGTATATGTCAAATAATACATATATTATTAATATATTTCATAATTATATAATAATATAATAAAATAATGTGTCATGCCTCAGTCGCAGAGCGCGCAGGCTGCCGGCGACAGCAACATATATTGGCACCGCCCCGACCCCCCCACCCTCAGCCCCCGCCCCACACGAACACCTGCTGCTGGGGGGTACGTTTATTAATTATCTTATATAAATTGTTTTCGTTACACCAGCTCAATAGGTAATCTGTAATTGTTTCGACGAATTATTTCTTGTTGTTCAAGTCTTAGGCACCACTTGCAATTAACTCCCCATGAAGCGTCTGAAAGTTTATTTCTTTCGAACCGCGAATGAGTTTAATAATTAAGAAGTTTAGCTTAAGTGTAAGAATTAGTTAGCTAATATCATCGCACTCGCATGCTTTTGCTTAACACGCACTAAATCTCGTATAGAAAGTTAATTAAATGCTGGTTGTAAACTCCGTGTACTTTTTCCAATTCAATATCTTTCGTAAATTCGAAAATCGAAAAAAAAATTCTTGCAAATTGATATATTAAGAATGAAACCCTATTGTCACCTATTAATAAAGGAACGCTTACATCAAAGTGGAGCGTATTTGATCTTAAGTGTTGAAAGTATATATAATTTACCCTGTAACACCGATCATCGACTGTATGACAGTGAAAAGCCTTTAATTGAAACCAAAGTGTGAATTATAAAAATTTAAATTCTATGATATCGGTTTCTTAGCATAGAGTTAGAAATTCAACAATAGTGAACCTTTGCTCAGTTTGCTGTATTGTTTGCTTTGCACTGGATTGTATGGACCTGTCATTGTTTTGTATGGACCTGCCACTATTGTATTGACCTGCCCCTGTGTTGTATGGACCTGCCACTATTGTGTGGACCTGCCATTGTATTGTATGGACCTGTCATTGCATTGTATAGACCTGCCACTGCATTGTATTGACCTCTCATTGTATTGCATTGACCTGGTAATATATGTATTGTTCATTATGGTATCGTGCAGCAGCGGCAGCAACCCTCGCAAGCAGCAGGCTGGGTCGCCCCTAAGCGAGTCAGAGGACGACGCCGGGGACTACGCGCTGCTGCTGGAGGAGGGCGGCATCAAGTCGGGGGGCGCCGGCCCCACCAAGCAGACCCGCCGTCTGTCCAGGGGGCCCTCCGACGCCCGATACGTCGACCGCAAGCAGGTAACCCTGGGCATCAACGCCACGCCATGTTGAGCGGGTAATTGCGGGTAACTTCACGTGCAATTGCGGGCAACTTCACGTGCAATTGCGGGCAACTTCACGTGCAATTGCGGGTAACTTCACGTGCAATTGCGGGCAACAAACTTCACGTGTAATTGCGGGCAACTTCACGTGTAATTGCGGGTAACTTCACGTGCAATTGCGGGTAGCTTCACATTGTGGGACACAGTTTCAATTTGATCGAGTTTATCGACTAATGTGATTTATACGCCAAATATCAGCGTTGTCTAAGTATTAGCAACAAATGAATATCTGTAATTCATTTATATTGCTATTTGACGATCCATAAAGTGTTGATATTAATGCTGTTATTTGCTTTCAGATTCTGGCGTACCGACGGCAGAATGAAGAGCAGCAGCAACAAGAGCACCAGCAGGAGGACCTGGGGAGTGCTGGGGGTGACGAGGACATGATGCCTCCCCTACCTCCTCCTCCCCCCGGTCTGGGTGGCCCCTCTCATGAGGGAAATGTGAGTCACGTTATAGCTAACGTCTCAGTATTTCTTGAAAAACTAAATTTTAGTTATCGTTTCGGTGTTAGTGAGTTTTTGGATAAAGGAAAATTGATGTTTTAGGAATTTTCTAAAACTGATGAATCGTAGCATTTGTTTTATCGTCTTCATTTTTTACAGATTCCTTAAGCAATTTGCAATCATATTTCTTACAAGTTTTTTTTTATATGTTTCTCACAGGTTCAAATCGTACTCTAAGATGATCGCAAATTTATATTTATTCTTTAATTGGCTTATTAATTTCATAATAATAGTGCATAATAATCGATCATAACGTAGACCGTGTGTTGTATTCGCACCATTGATGTCAATGACACACGTCTTCCACCAGGACTCGAAGGTTCACGACGACGTTGCTATCCACCGCAGCGACTCTGCCTCCACCACCACCTCGTCCACCGCAACCAACCACCAGCCCGACCAGTCAACCTCGTCAACCAACACCGCCACCAATCAGTCAGAACCAGACGGTCGAAACAGGTTGGCAGCTCTTCTGTCACTACTATTTTATGCAAGTGAACAAGGAATACTGTTCAACTTAGATTTACAAATCTGGGAACACGCATTAAAGATTTGGTCTAAAATTGAGGTCTAATGCATCTACACTTTTTTCATCATTGCATCTGTATCTCCATGGAATGAGTCTTTCGGTGAAATAATTCTTTTTTTATTACATTAGAGAAATCATAGGATGCAAAAATTTGTCGTGAAATTTTTTTATATTAGAGACTTAACTTCTAAATATTTACCGACCACCGTTTTAAGCTTCGTTTGTGTTTTTATTGTTAATTTCATTGCCTCTTCCTCCTGTCGAGCTTTATTACATTTTTCTTACCTAAAGTAACCACTCCGTGAAAAAAAACGCATTGACTAATTTGTTTCCGCAGGTGCGGCAGCGACGATGACCTGACGCAGCTCCCTGCAGACCCGAGCAACTTCCCGTCGTATCCGCGGCCTCTGCGCGCCCAGAGTCTCGGTGGCGGCGGCGCTGCGCTGTACGCGGACTCAACGGTTGTGATCCGCCGACAACGAGCTTTGACCCGCGACCTGCAGCCGCCCGTGGACCCAATCTACGGGTCCCGCAGCCACACTTCCTTCAAGGAAGAGACCCTCTATGGCACCCGGGGTGGGGTCGAGTCAATCAAGGAGGAGGAGGACGACAAAGACGAGATGTGCTCGGCGGACTTGGTGGCGCGGGCGCAGAATGCGGCCAACAGCCAGCAGTACGGCAACAGCTCGTCAGGGTCTGTGGGCTACCACACAGCCAGCAACAGCTCTGGCAGCAGCTCCCCTATACCTCCCCCATCTTCTGCTCCCGGCTTGGCAACCCCACCTCCCCCAATGGCTCCTCTCTATCCAAGCCACGGAACATACGGCCACTCTGGACGTAGCCCCCACCACAGCATATACGGTCAGACGACAGCTCAGCCCCACAGCTTGTACGGTCAGACGTCGATGCACCACAACATATATGGCAGGACGGCACAAAATAAACTTCCACAAGCACCACAAATTCCCTTACCGCCCATTCCTCAAGGCTCGATTCCTGGCAACCTCCGCTATGGTGCGAATCCGAACTCGTGTGACGACGGCCATTTCCCGCCTCCTCCTCTATCTTCCCCTAGCCCTCTCTCCCCTCCCCCTGGGGACCTATACCCGACAAGTAGCTTGGCTAACAGCAGGTTTGCCGGTGGAGGGATGGGAGGCGGTGGGGGACGGGCAGTTGTTGTTGGGAGGAGCTCAAGTCTTCGTTTCACGCCCGGCACACCACCCCGACACTTCACCAACTCCTTACCCCACGTACTGCCCCGCAACTCCCACTACAACACTGGCGTGTAGTTCGGGGGTTTATTTTTCAGCAAAAATGTTTTCCTTATCAACTCTGGCATTGAGAATCGTCTCATTGAAAGAGTGCGATAAAAAAGGTGAATCATACAACACTTTACAGGTCCAACAAACTGCTCATCAACTGCGAGTTTGCTCACCAGAAAACGTTGCCATTTTAAGGGAAATTGCTGTCCTCAGCTGGCGCTGAAGATATGAAAGCAGCGATGCAGCTACATCGTGAAGAAGCGCAGAAAATGAACGTCGCATTCACGATGAGGCAAAACAGAGCATGAAGCTTTGGTCACGTGTGCGATAACATGAATATGGTTCTCTTAATTAAATGTCTTTTGTCAATCTGCTTTTCTAAAGGTAGGGCATGCCATTCTTGTAATATTCGCATTCTCAGCTGAAGCATCGAGAGGATCCCTATTGTATCTCTCTGCTCTAGGCAAAAGGATCATAGCACACGCATATCACGACCTACTATATAAGTATAGTATATACTATACTATATAATAAAGTTCACAGGGGCCGTGAGAAACATGTACGTTGAACGCTTGTGACTTATCAGTGCCAGTATTTGGTCTTTTGAATCTTATATTTGCCTTGCTTTGATAAAAATTAATAGTGTTCGAATTTTGTTAAAATAGGTTTCGGAAATTACACAAGGAAAGTTCAAGTATCTGCAGTTTTGTTCATTCGGATAGTTGTTGCAGGAGGGTTTTTCGAATCATGACTTATTCAACTGCGAAAAAATCTCGTTTTTTTACTGTAAAAAATCATTTTCCATCTCGGTTTATATTATGCACAAATTTACGTTTCGATATCTAGTAAAATAACGTTTATAATTGAAGCAAGATGTCTTAATGTTGTAAGATTAGTGTACGTATTTGCTTAACCGTTTTGATTGAGAACTCAAGTTGTGTTATGGCGGAACATTCGTGCAATGTATCACCGCACGGCGATGTTGAAGCAAAACGGTTGTGAACAAACTCTACCGTTCGACGGATTCCTCAAATTACTTAAATGCATTTACGCGCCTCTAATTCACGAAAAATAAAAAGACATGCATATTTATAAGAGATGCAAGTTTTTATAGTTACTACCTTGGTGCTCAAATGGCAATGTTAACGTATTTTGAGACTTCAGTCAGAAATTTAGTTTTTTGCTTGATGTGCTACGCGTTACTCGACTGGTGCCGATATGATTTACTGTCGGAGGCTAGTGTTAAGCCACTGTTGGTTTCTCTACACGAATGCCTTCTATTTAGTTAGTTTGCGGCTCTGCTACAGCCGAACTTGTTGATTGTACCTGATATTTTATAATTTTATAAGAGTTTTGTACGGCCCAATACTTGTTGTAGTCCTGAGTAGTTGTAGTTGTAGTCCCCCTTTATTTTGCCTGAGTGAGGTAATTTGTATGTGTCTCTTTGGGTTGAAACAACTCGTATTCAAGTACCCCGGTCAGGGCGAACATGTATCACCCGTTGGGGGGTTTATCTCGACGTCGTTTCTGGGGCTTTTCGATCTCGTCATGAATTACTGCCGTTGGTAATTTTTGAGGCTGAGCTCCAGCTGTGCTCACTAATATAAGTAGCTTTGGTTTATCTCCATTGTTCATGGGAGCTTTAGAAAGCGAGAGCACCCTTTACATCATTACAGTGTACGCTAAAAAATCTACTCTAAATTGCATCAAATGGTGACATCTTGTAAATGTCTCTCTAACACATAAGATGTTTCAAATGGTTAAAAATCAATGTAAAAATTATTAATTCACTGAAACAAAAAGTTATTCTGAACTTAATTTCAATGTGTTATTTGAAAAGTTGAAATACATTGCAAAGAACGAAAGGGTGAGCTGGGCTCTGTGAACTCTACGCGTCATATCTCATACCTCTTGAAATATCGAATTCTTCATATCGAAGTTGTAAATAACAAATCGAAAACTTCTGCATCAACTATTTTAAATCGCATTTACTGTACAAAAATATCATTCTAAACTGAAGTCGAGTAACTGCTAACGGTTAAATTGTCATAAACGATGTATCCAAACCTTGTATGCATGCAGTATATGAATGAATGCTCTAGCATGAATGCACGAATTATTCCGTGTATTGAGGACGACCGAATTGTTCTCGCCTCGCTTCTGCTTTGTAAATGCTTGCTTGGTGGTAAGGGCAGCTCTTTTGTTATGTCAGTTCGATGCATGACAACGAATTATCGAAATCTGCTTAGAAAATGTCAAATATTGTTGAACGTTTCTTAGTAGCTAAAATCTAAAAACTTTCATTCGCTGAATCACATAACTTGTGAAATCGTCATTAAGCTTCAGTACCACCGAGAGAGTCAAATAGCACGTCGCTACTTTGCTCAGAATTTCAATAATACGTCATTATTTTGCCCAAAATTTCAATAAAACGTCACCATTTCGTTCAATATTCACCATCATTGAAACAGTTAACTTTTCTTCCAGCGTTTCACTAGTAACCAAGAGATCAATGTCTTCGCCTGGTAGGCTATAACTTTTCTTCCAGCGTCTCAATAGTAACCAAAATATCAATGTCTTCGCCTGGTAGGCTATGTACGCTATAATGACTCTGCTTTAGCTCTTCGTATCGCTTCCTGTGCTTCTGTGTCCGTACGCTGAGAAGATGAATGGGTCATCTTGTCTAAATCGTGACATACTTTCTTACCCACAGCTTGAGCAGTAAAGCTAAACCGGGTTGGGGTGACCCACACCTTGGCAAAACGTGTATCGCTATTTAGACAAAGACTCACTCATTCATCTGTGTGCGGCTGACGACGTTAACGTGCTTAAGAGTGTAAAGTGGCGAACAATAGCTTGTTTTGGGGCCTTTTTCTATTAGTTGGTCACTTATTGTCTACTGCGTGACAATTTTTGCATAAAATTGACATCTCTCTCCAACTGAAAAGCCTTCTTAAACAAGCTCCTCTTTGCCACTTATGATATTGTCGTTTGCCTTCTTCTTATTCCCTCTTCTTGTTCAAGGCAAATAATTTTAGGCGTATTTAAAAGCGGGAAACACGAGTCAATGCGACGCATCTCTACCGTCCTTTCTATTCGCAGTAACAACGCTAGATTTATTATTGTCTTGGAATGGAAACGGAAGGAGTTCAGTAGAAATTTAGCATGACTGGAAAAGATGGAAGTCGTTGCAAAAATTTCCTCAACTATGTACGTTACTGCAAAAGTTTATTTTTTCTATGTAACCATTAAAATGCTGAATTTATTTGGATCTCAAATGTATTGTATCAGGAGTATCTTGGCTGATTGATATGGAGAAAGTTGATTCTAGTCACTCCCAGTATATACGAGTAAACGTTTTTCACTACCGATATTAACCACGAAGCAGTTTAATTTCTTTATTAATCTAATTTGTTGAAAATAGCTTACTCTGGAATTTTCATTATTTATTTACAGGAAAACTCTAGCTTACAAAGTTAATATTAAAATTCAGTTCTACATTATTCAGATCAATTAAGAACGAGTGTTTGCTCCCACGAGGGTGGGACGTGAAAAGATTCCGTGAGCGGAAACGAATTTGCTTCTGGTGCTTCAACGGACGCGTGGCATTACTGTGTATAAGAGACTTAGCTTAATATTAGATACGTTCGTGTTTCTTAGGTGTATTCTTATCCTCAATCTGCTTTAGGGGCTACATTCTCAAAAATTATTTCGAAGAGCAATAATTCTATGATTACATTCAATTTAATTTAAACGTTACTGTATTGCATTCATTTGATATCCTGCAGATATTTGCAGATTTGATTTCATTTGATATCCTGCAGCATCTCTTTGAATTGAGGAAAGCTCATGTCAATAATCTCAGGTATACACACAAAGCAATAAAAGAACCGAGCAGTTAGAACCGCGCCTTAATGTCACATTTAGACATCAGCGTTATGCAGGCATCACAGAAACATTAACGGACGATGTTTAATTGCCAGCACTTATTAAATGAAGAGAAATAATTTACACTGTCCACAAAATGCCAGTCAGTAATTGCGATCAAGGAGAGAAAGAATTCCAGTCAACATCAAAGCAGAGACGCTCAGTCAAATATTACCGTCTGAAGTGGACCTGCTGCAAAACAAAACCCCTCGGCACTACTTGACGCTTTTCAGTGTTCAGGCTTGGTTTGAATAGTTTATTATACTAAGAAATCAATGCCCAAAAAAATTAGATAAAGCTGTTTTTTTTGGTCTTGGCTCTGTGTTAGATCTAAAATTGAAATCCGCTGCATCAACAATAAAAACAAAATAGCAACGAAAAATCAACCACTTGTACAGCAAGAGAAAAGTGTTGGTTATAGCTAAGAATAAAATCACTGCAAGCTTACACCACTTAAACTACTTAAAATTAGAGTTACACAACATGAATAGAAATAGAAGCAAAAACGAACACATGTAGCACTGAGTAGAACAACGAATCGTTTCACGTTGAGAATAGATAGGGGCCGAACCTTCCCATGTGAAATAAAAAAGACGACTTAGATAACTCGAGTAAAACGTAGATGACATCGCAGACGTTAATGTGCGATGTACATGTGTGGCTTCAACAAATGCCAGTAAAGGTCAGATCATAAAGAAAACATGGTTTATAAATAATCTCTCATCGCGAGGAAATCGCTGGTCGTGGTAGGGGACATTCGAGTGGCTTCTGAACTCAAGAGTGAGTCAAGTGGTCCTAATAGCAAAATACTTTAATTATTCACGACGAACTAAAACTATAATACCTTAAGTTGTTGGTTAAGAATTCCTAATCACAGTTAGTAATTTGGTATATAAATAATATGAAATTAATTATTAGCTCTAAGAGACGTTGTTTCACAATCCGTGATAAATTGAAGTCCCGAGAAAATTGAAATTCGTCTCGAATTAAAAAACAATGAAATCACAATCTGAGATGAGAATTGGAGTTAAAAGAACACTTAATCAACAAGCAGTATGAACAGAGAAACTTAAAACAAGTCTATTGCACTATACACAAATAATGGCTGGTTAGCACAGCATTGGTCGGTAACTTGTAAGAAATGAAATAATATTCAAGTCAAAGTAGTAGTAGTAGTAGTAGATTTACTAGCGCTTCAGATAGCTATCTATTTCGCGCCGGAGGTGAGATCTTCAGTTACGTCAAAGATGTTTGGTTTCTTCCGTCTTCAAGGCTTATAGCCTGATCCATTTTAGGCGCAGGGGCTGGGCGGTAGATTCCCTGCTCATGGAGCGAGGGTCCGCTCCGACTTCATGTATCAACTGATTTCAACTCCGGCACAAGTTTAGTGAGGCCTGGTCTAGGTGATGGGACGGTGCACTTATAGTCTCGCTAAAGGCGGTGGTGCAAGTGCATATGACCGACAGGCGGTGACGTTACGGGGTCATGCTAAATCTCCGGCAGCAGGTTGCATTCCATCAGGTATCGTCTAAGGTTATCGGTTTCGAAGTTACTTCGCCGGTCCTCTCGCAGCATTCTAGTGAGCATCTCGTCATGATCAAGGGCGGATGTGTTGGGGTAGCAGTTTTGTCGGATGTCGTTGTGGTTAGGGCACTCCGCCAAGACATGCAGAACTGTCAGGGGCACCAGGCAGTCGTCACAATATGGTATAGGGCGTCGCTCAATCAGGTAGCCATGGGTGAGGCGCGTATGGCCAATCCTCAGTCTACACAGCGCTATCTCCATTTGTCGAGATCTCTGATAAGATGAGCTCCATGTTGTTACACTGTCCTTGATTGTTCTCAGTTTATTGTTTCTCGTGTTCAGCCACAGCTCGCGCCATATGTGGTGAACGCTCAAAGTCAAAAAAGTCGGGTGGGTATTCAAGTCAAAAAGTCGGGTGGGCGCCACTGGGAAGTTTGCAGCTTAGGTAGCCAGTTGCCCACACGTTGCAAAGAAATATTGCAAGAGCGACGCGCCGAGGCGAACGCACGGGGGCATAAATGCTGCACGCACTCAGAAAACATTGGATAGAATTTGAGTCGAGGGGAATTCGAATCAAGAGAGGCCACTGTGAGATCTCATAGAAACCCTGGACGTTCAAAATTCCACTATGTCAATAAAATTTACTCGTACAAGTAGTGCACGAGTTCCTCCGAGAGATTTGCAGCTACGAGGTCTTGTACAAATGGTCCATCTGGTCTACGGAGAGGTTGGGGGCAACAACGAACTGGTCGTGACACTCGTGGGGATCACGAAGCCAGCAGGGCTCCGAGACGAGGCGCGCGGGAGCGGCGCAGGAGACGATATCGCTGAGCCGCGCTGCCGAAGACGACATCATCGACGCTCTTGACACAGGCATTTTGGCGAGGAACATTCCTTCTAAGATATCCAGGAGACCTGCGGAGAAATATAGTAAATAAATTAGATGAATGATGAAAAATATTAAAGTTAAAAAAATTGAAACCTTTTGCACTGACGAAGAAAAGCATTCACTAAGCATCGACTCTCAAGTTACTTGGGTACTTGATTGGGAACCGTTATAGGCATACCGACTAAGGACTACTGCTGCTAGCCACATGTACAAGACATGCCAAGCCTGGCATGTTAATGATGGACCTGCGGCAGCGACGCGGGCAGGGCCGAAGATCAAGGCGAAGACCTGCCGCCAGTCGAGGTCGCGACGAGCGGCGCAGGGGAAAGTGAGAGACGACAACCACACGGCGAGCGAGGACGTCTCCGACGAGTACGTCCGCAAACCTGACGCCAGCGACGCTAGACCCGACACCACCTCGTCTGTACAGCGGACTTAGTTACTTCGTTGATGATCACACTTTTATGTCAATACAAGCGTAAATATTATGGATGTACCGATGAAATTTGAGACACGGATATGGTTCAGGCATAAACTAACGATAGAAAACAAATGAACGAGTTTATGCAGATAAACAGTCACCATTAATGAGGTAGCCCGCATGAGAGGGGCAAGAAGGAAATGAATTCGCCGAATATTGAAGTTCCGCCCAACGACCAAAACGTGGGACGGGCTCTTGATGCTCGAAATGTGAGACCACTGCACCGCACTCTGTGTGTAATTGAAACCAGTTTTTAAAATGTGCATAGTAAGATTCACTTATGTAGCTCCATACGAGATTACTATTCGTGAAATATTTGATAGCTCAAGTCAAAATTCAACATGAACAAGTCGAAGAAAGTTCGCTAGCGGCCAGTGTGCTGAAGCCATGAACATCTAAAGCATCACTCTGATATGAAAGAAAAAATAAATTGAAAAAAAAGTCCCAGAAAGAAGCAGGAGGCACAAACATCACTGAAATCATCCGTACCGGAAATTTTTTTAATTTGGCTTATACCTCATGAAAAGGGCAATAAATAATCAAGTAAGAGAAGTGTAATAAAGCCTGTCCAACTAACCCTACATTGCGATCTATTGTTGGATTTCTACCGCAGAAAAATAATTATCCTATAAACTTGAGTCTTTTTCCCGATGATCTATGATCGACCAATATATTTTATAATTTTCCACTCCCTCAATGCTGTCTCTTCTTCATGTTCCAAAGATTAGCATACATTTATAGCACAAAAGAGTGCGATGACATATGCCAAGATTTGACCCTCACTTGTCAACTCTACTCGTGAATAAAGTTTGCTTATTACTCATGAAATAATAATAATAGCGGTTTCAGCCTTTAGTAGGCCGTAGGCCTGTCGCTGATTCTTAACATCGCAGAACATTCACAGTATTTTACTAATACTGTTTTTACTAATACTGTTAACTTAATTACTAATCAACGATAGCAGAAAATATCTTCATATTCCTACCTAACAAAGATGGTCAAAAGTAAAGAGATAACCGTTATCGAGACGAGTAGACGCATGAAGGGCCATGAGGCGTCGAACGTTCACGAGCACATCGTCGTCAGTCTTGAAGAGCCAGTAGCCAGGGTGAACGGCAGCCGTCCTGAAAATCCTCTAATGCAAAAACATCCAATTTGGCTTAAGGGCAAAATTTTTCCGGATGATATACTTTAAATAAAAAATATATGGATGGTTTTAAAAAGATCCTGCTTAGTTCCTCACTTGCTGAACAGCTTTTATAATATCTACTATCTCTCATACAAACTTAAAATTGCATCCAACTAAATATTAAAGTTCACCCCCGGCGAAAATGTCGTTAATTCTGCAATAGTTCAACCAAACAGCCAACATTTGTATTTATATAACTGTCGTCCCACGAGTTCAAGCAATAACTACCATATTTGATTATTATTATAGAGTATAGATAAAGAGGAGGTTCTGACCACTGCAGCAGAGCGAGGAGCTTAAGGGGCAGGTGCTGGGGATCGTCCGAGAGACCAGGCACCACCAGCAGGTCTCCGTACAGGCGCAGCTCCTCCGACATCTGCTGCCTCTGTCCCTCCAACTTCTGCTGCCACTCACGCTGCAGACGCGCTTGTTGTGTCTCAGAATACTTCCCACGCAGGCTTTGCTCTTTAACTGAAAAAAACGCAGATTTCATCAGGTACTTAAAATTCTTTTCCATTAATTAATAATTTAAATTACAGACGATTGGCATTTCATCTATGGTTAACTTTTGATAATCATTCAATTTACAAGTAGTCTTTTGATTCGTAATATAATCCGAGTTAAATTGAATCGTAAAAGATATGTGCTCTGTAACACATTAAGCCACTTCAACTGGAATGCTTTCTTCTCTTGAACTCATTGCTCTGCTCGAGTTACATCGATTGGAAGCTCGACTAGAATCTCACCTCGCTTCTTCTTGCACACAAAATTCAGGGGAGTGGAGCAGTAGAAGTCGTTCCATAAGCCTGACCTTGACATCAGCTGCCACACAAACAGAGAAAGAAGTTATTATCCTGTTATTATTCAATCATTAATTATTTATCCAGAAGCTTGAGGTATATTTTTTATATTTAAAGGCAGTATTCACACCCACAGGATATGTGGATGACACATGAGCTTTTTAAAAATTCAGAAACGAGGAGATTCTGAAGAATGAAATTCCACAGCTTAGATATATCCACATTAATCATCACGGATGGGTTTCTGCGATGCTACGGTAAACCATTATTGGTAGGTTTTAGGCCATTCTATGGATGGCAGGACTGATAAATATTGGTGAAAATGTCATTATGAGTAGGTTATAGACATTGTATTGGCTCATATCAGACCTGCACACAGCGTTCACGGCCATAGTTGTTGTTGGGTTCCAGGCTGTCCCAGTTGGTGAAGGTGACGTCACTGCCGTCCGTCCATACGAACGATGATGACAGCTCCTCTGAACTCAGGCCGATCCAAGCATCCTCCAAGGTAAAGGCTTCGAAAAAGAAGTTTATTTGCTATTAAATAACGGAAATTAGATATCTCCCATCATTCAATTCAATTTCAAGTCAGCAAGTGTATCATAACTAAAAATTTGGTGCAGTAGTATTGACTCACTATTATGCCTTGAACTGATTTTTGCAAATATACACTGTTGTCATGAACTAAAACTAATAAATTTGTGAGCATATAGTCGCTGTTTATAAATGACAATTATTGAAAATTATTATTATTATTATTCCACGAAGAGAATGTCGTGGCGTCTCGTTCGGATCGAACTTCGAGGGCACGTTACAAGTGGCTAAAAAAGACACGAGAGGATAAAAACAGATGACGTCTATGCTAAAACAAAGGACATATGCCAAGACTGACGACGTCTATGCTAAAACAAAGGACATATGCCAAGACTGACGACGTCTATGATAGAACAAACAACACCTATGCTAAACCAGTAATATACATAATAGATTAGATGACGGCTAGGTCTAAGATTCAAAGGCTCTACGGGAAAGTTCTGTTTTTAGGCGTCGACGAAACAACGGCAGCGAAGAAGCAGATGTCACCGATGCTGGCAGACCATTCCATGTTTTGGCCGCAGCGACCGGGAACGCTCTGTCGCCGACTGTGGACAGACGTGAGGACGGGACGACGAGGTCAGCCTTCGACGATGAACGCAGTCGCCTTCTAGAAGNACCGACAGCTCCGACCATGAGTCCGGCCGACCAAGTCGGGACGACTGAAGTCTCCTGCTCAAAACATCGCCGTCGAGATCGCGCCACGGGCGACAGGTGACGGCTCTGTACGTCAACGCTGGGCGATCACATGTCACTATCCACTGGAGTAGTCGGTGGTCGGATATTGCAATGTCGATGATGTCAACGGGCAGAAATTGAATGTCGGTACGCGTGATGACAACATCCAGCAACCCGCCGAGGTCATGGGTTGGTAAGGTAACGTGACAGACCATGCCGAAGGCAGACAGCAGATCGTTCAGCTGACGCGCCCATTGGTCGTCGGCACGATCCAGTCGAACATTAAAATCGCCAGTGATAAAAACGTGATCGGTGAGGGTCACAAGTCTAGTTAAAACATCGCTTAATTCAACAAAAAAAATCACGTGCGACAACAACTGATCCGGGACGATAGATGACGACAGCAACACACGCGAACGAGCCGCAAGCGATCGTGATACACAACAGCTCAAAGGTGGTGGGTCGGGCGCCGATGTCGAGCCTGGTCAGGTTCACGCCGCAGGCGACGATCGCTAGTCCGCCGTGATTCGTCACTAGGGTGTATGGCTGCGCGAGAGGCCGTGCACGCTCGACCACTTGGAGTCCTTCAGCCCGAAGACGCGCGATGAAAACCGAGTCAGCATCATGCCAGGTCTCGGTCAAGAAGACGACATCCAAAGAGCGCGAGCGGCGGATGCGAAGGAACTCGTCAACTTTGTTGTTCAGCGAGCGGATGTTTAGGCTGCCGAACATTAACCGGCGACACGTCTGCGCGGAGTGACGATCGACATGGACGCTGGGCAGGTTATGAGGCCTGCGAGCCGACACAGGTCCACGTTCAGCAGCAGAAGGATCAGCCGACGCACAGTCTAGCACAGATGGCTGCCGTCGTGGCACCACCGTTGCACGCAACCCGATACATGACGGCAGTACGCCTGTTATGACCGGCACGGCATCCGCGATAAGACAGACGAGGGGCGGGAGTAGCAAGGAGCAAATCGACTCGTTGACGGACGGATGGATCGAGGGTTGCAGCGGCTGGCCGCAGGCCAAGCAGCTGCATTGTCGAGTAGGCTAATGGTGCCATGGATATCACTATCAGCCTGATTCAACAGATTATAAAATAGCAGTGTCAGACCTCTAAAAAGCAGCTAGAAGACCTGTATGTTGAACGTCAAGACGATTACTTAAAAAATCCGTGGAATCTTGGTCGAACGAAGACCAGCATCACAGGGCTTGGATCAGCCAAGTAGGGTGTTGATAGCCAAGGGTGGAAAAAAACGAGCCGGAAAACGAAACTGCACTCGTGCATAGTGATCATTTAGACACTGTAATCCTCAGACATGATCATTTGAACACTGTATATTCACTGTAAAACGATCCACACAAGAAAGTCATCTTGTCAATCGGTTGTTTAAAGATTCACGAAGATCGGATATGACACTGGCCTAAGTTGCGGCCTAAGTTGCGAACAAAATAAAAACCAATAAAATAATGATGTGCTTTTGAATGAAACAAGTCTTCTCGTAGTAGGAGCGGATCACGCATCACACTCACCTGCCAAAAATGTATTTTCATGCAGTGAGGAGATGCTGGCGAGCTCGGCGTCGAACAAGCGGCAGGTCTCGGCCGCCTCGTGCCAGCTCTTCTTCGAGTAGAACTTGGAATAACAATGACTTGCATGCTGCGTCCAGAGCGTCTCGCACTTGTCAGCTCCTGAGACACGCCAGCCAATAAGGAATGTACAATTGTACCTACATGAACATGCCTGATGCGTGAGCCATGCATGAACACACCTGACACCTCAGCCAATAAATGTACATAAATATATGCCTACCTGACACATCAACACACAAGTATAAAAAACGTTGGTCCAAGACAATCGGGTAGCGCCTCCAGGGCGTAACACTCTGGGGAGCCATATCCCCATGGCTCCCTAGTGAGGTTGAATGACAACATAACAGCACCAGACGCTAGCTTGCCAACTAGTTAAGAGGCCGGCAGTCATTCGTTCACTACAATGGCAAGTCATCACACACAAAGAACATACCGAACGGAGTACTCCAAGGATCAGTCCTCTCACAAGCCCTGTTCAATCTTTACATGCATGATATTCCAGCCTCACCACACAGCATTCACATTTCATCTTATGCAGACGACATCACAATTACATCAACACAAACCAATGCTAACACATGCTCCACACAAGTACAACCTTACATTACACAACTAGAGGACTGGCTAGCACGCAACAGACTCAAAGTTGCCCCCACCAAATCAACAAGCACACTACTAAAAAGGAGCATCAGCACAGACCTACAGTCACTCTAAACCACACCATCATACCACACACACATTTCCTCCTTCTGAAAGTACACCTAGATATGAGAGGCACCCAATTCCTTGCATCGGCACTCTACAACCCCCTCAGCCCCTGCCATCACTTTCAGCATTTACCATCACATTCAGCAAATAGCTAACACTCCACACAACTACTACCTCACAATACTTAACTCCTCACACCCGCCCACAGACCCAGCCAACTTCATCAAGCATTTAACTTCATCAAACACATCTAACTCGGAACGCACTCTCGAATCCACCAATCAACAATATCATAGATGACATACCGCCAGACATCAGCCATACAGAAGAGCAGTTAAACTGTGCATACAAGGTGTACCTCAGCAGACTCCGCTGTGGTCACCATCCCTCACTATTCTCCTACAAACACCGCCTGACAGCACTCACTCCAACCTATACTCCAATGTCATGCAATCCACCACACCGTTGAGCATCTTCTGAACGAGTGCCGAGCAGAAGATTTCGAGTGGCAGCCTTCCTGCACAGCACGGGATTCCTGGCATAAAAATGAATCATAGAACATCAACTACATCAGCAACACACAAGTAAGTATTCTTACCATTTTCGAAATTGAGATAGAAGGGAGCACATAGTCCTTCAGACCAGGGCAGGTGACGGCCATCGCTGAGTTCCACAGAGCTGTACTCGACAGATGATGACCCATTCAGCCACTCACACTGGCAACATAACAACAAAACAACATAACAAAATAAAAACATTTAACTTCATATTTTTTCATTTATACCTGTAATTAATTCAGTGTGTTTTTGTTAATGCCTGCACAGAATTTTGAACCTAGGACTAGGAGGTAAAGATTTGAGAGATGATGTACAGTAATATGTAAGCATTTATAAAACAAAAAATTGTTAAATTCGAAATATTCTTTACATATGAAATTGGTTTTACCCTCTAAAATTTGGATTTAATGATAAATACTCAAGTGAAATTACTGTACCATGATATAAAAAAAATGTTTGCTCATAATAGATCAAAGAATATGCAATATAACAACAAAATAATTCATTAATAATTTCAATGAATAATTTTATGATGAACAGGAAATGAAATCAGCGAAAGAATAAATCTAGAATGAGAAAAAAAATACATTTGGCTGAAACAAATGAAACATGTAAATTTAGAGGCTAGAGGACTACTGTAAAAATAGTTTTCTTGTACCACTTGAAGAAATGGGATTATTTGAATGAATAAATTTCCTGGTAACACAAAAAAATAAACATGAGCTAATGGCTACAACACTTCACTAAAACTGTTCATTTATCACCAGTCAGTGTAAAGAATGATGATGAAACAATCTTCAGGCAATTATGGAAATGGATATGTTATTTGTTCTTTGGTGTGTATACTAAATATGACATAACTTACAAAGGAAGGCTAGTTAAAATGATGGTTTATGCATGAATAATGAACGTTGTTATAAGAAGTAGGATTAACATGACTCACATGTTCAGCAGCAGGAACCAGGCACAACTGATCTGGCAGTTGAACACTAATTTGAACTTCTTCTCCTTCAGACAGAAATTTTTGAACTGAAGCCACTTGACTTCCATCTAAGAATTCACTAGGCTCTGTTGTGAACACTTCTTGCTTGTCAGATGAGACTATTATTTTAATTTTACCTTCACCTTGTCTAACGGAGACTACAACAGACGACAAAAAAATATCAGTAAGTGCCATGATGCTAATGCCTGTGATGCATGGTGAGGCAGTCTTCTTGGGGTTGGAGAAGCTTGCAGAAGAGATTGAAGTCCAGTTGGCCAAGAAGCTGCCTGCAAGCGATTGGGCTATGAACATAGGCTGCTAGGGCTAGCTGCTACATAGTCAAGTGGTCTGTTTGGTTATTAGCTGTATTTGCACATCTACATGTACCGTATTGGTGACTAAAGTCAAATCACTCACATACAAAGAAAATTTTACAATCTTGGGTTTTGTATAGAATTTAATTGATATTGAAATTATATAATTACAATCATTTTAAAGGATTTTAAATTTAATACAACTGAAAAATTGTAAAAAAAAAACAGAATAAACTTAAGGTAGGTATTCATATATCCATTAAGTATCTATGAGCAGGAGATAAAGCAGAGAAGCAGGACCTACCATTGTTGAATGGTGCCTGACACTTGTAAGAGGGGACTCTTAACTTGGGATGTATGTGGCAGTCATCTGCACCCACAACAAAAACAAGATCAGACTGCACTGTTGGCTCAGAGACATGACTTAGATCAGAAGCCCAGGTGTTGCGAACAGCCAGACGTTGTAGGAAATGGTCACGACCAGAAAACACCCCAAACACAATTCCTTGAGCAGACCTTTGTGTCCATGGAACTGCACAGACAAAGGCATTTTTAAACAACATGTAATAGAGCTTCAATTTAACAATTAGCAAATTTCAAGGTTCAGTACATGGACGCACTTATGTAGTATCTATAATTTATACTGGATAACATTTTTTAACTTACTGTGTATCTGGTGCAGAACGGGAGTGAGAAGGCACACATCCAAAATAATGTGAGAAGTACTTAGTATTATCCAGATCAAAATTATGAACTTCAGGTGGAAAGGGAGACTGTACAGGAATATTCTTGTTTCAGTTGTGAAGAAGCTGAGAAGATTCACAAGTTTTATTGTGCTCCACTTAAGAAATCTAAATGGAGTTAGAGCAAAGATAATGACAAGATTGATGGCGAATGTCAGCTGGAGCATCAGGAACTGAAGGACTGACCAGCAGCTAGTTCTTGAGGTACATGCTGGATGGGCATGTGATGTCTCTCCTCCAAGTTGAGGAACAGCCATTTTAGCACTTGTTGCCTACTTGCCTTCTCCAATTACTGCTAATAAAAAAGTTGCTGCTACCATGACAACATTTGAACTTGAATCTGCAGTCAGCCAGATTAATGATTTAATGATAAACCATTACAATCACAATGACAAGAGACAGAGTAAAAAACATAATCATCTAAAAAGTTGTTTTTTGAAGAATGATATAAGGAAAACATATTATTTTATCACACAGTGTAAAGTGAATCATCAACACCTGGACATACATAGCCATATACACAATGGTATTTACTGTTCACCCAGTGTGCAAAGAGTGGACAAATATCTAAAGATGTTTACTGACACTTCAAAGTTCAGCATCAAAATCCAAGTCTTCAGAAGATCTTGCAACACATTTCCCATTGAGTACCAACTTATCAATACTTTTGATAAGAAATCTTGATGATTTGAGTAGTCCTATGAGACTGTGACAAATCCTCAAAAATCCTGATGACACATAAGGCCTTAACAGAGGATCTTGATTACACAAATGCCAAGCTCTGCAAAGTGGCTGAAATGCAAGGCCATGAATTAAGTAAATTCTACCTATTTAGAATTATTGACCAAAACTTATGCACATATCAATAGTAAAAATTTGGAACATATGAGTTTTCTTTTTGATCTTCTCTGATTCTAATCTAGAATATCAAGCCTATCAAGTACAATTGTCTAAAAATAATAGGTACGGTAAAAGTGATCATTTCATGGAATTTTTTTTTATTTTGGGAAAAAATGTGCTAGGTACTATTCTTCGATTTTAGCAAAGAAATCAGACAAAGTACATTAAAATGGGAAAAACTTTCCACATACATACATGAGCATTTTTGTCTCATTCATTGGTGGCTTCTTCCAATTTTTCAACTTTTGTTCCTTGTGAAGTCTTATTAATAATCAATTTATCACACACTTCAATATACAAAAAGCCAATTTAGTACCTACCATATTGCACAGAAGTTTCTTAAAATGGCAGCTAAAAACAATGGTTTCACAGGTGTTTACTAAAAATGGTAGATAATAATAAAAAATAGCAGGTAATAGGCTGTTTTTCCTACATTTAACTGAAAAAATTAGGAAAAGTCTACAGGAAGAGTTTAAATTCACCATATTCAAAAAGGTTTTGTCTGATACCAAGGTGGCTTCTTCCAAATTTTGCAGTTAGGAGTACATAACATCAAGTAATTGAGTATTAAAATACCAGTATCAACATACTTAAGATATAATGAATGAAATGTTTAAGTACATGATTACATGAATATTAGGATGTAACTGGTTTCTAAAAAATCTCTTGTTAGTCAGCTTCATCTTGCATGGGCAAATTTCAGGTCAATAATCCCCATGAAAATCAACTCTGCCTCAGCAGCACTGCAGCTCATTCAGCACTCAGCAGTCAGCACCTATCCAGATGAATCCAATTTTTAACATTGGACAGTAACTTTCCAGAATTACAGATAAAAATGATCATTTCACAGGTAATTTTAGAAAAATCATAAGTAAAATAGGCCGTTTTTCTTAGTTTTTACTGGGTAAATTGTGAAAAGGCCAGAGGAACATGTAATTAGCAAAATTTGCAGGCATTTTTGTCTAATTACTGGGAGTGGGACTGTGGGAGGATTCTACTCCTTTGGGGATATATGACTGGATAAAGTACCAATCATTCCATGGAACAATGTACATTCCATATATAATTCCAGGCCCTGCCACACATTTCCTTCCTTCTCTTTGTGGTGACAAAGCAGCAAGTTTTTTTAGACTCTTCCTCAAGTTCAATTTTGAGTCTTAAAAGTAGACCAGCAAAATATCATGGATACCACTACCAGCATTATCATACATAAGATTTTGGTTTAAATCTTGAGTAGTATATAAATGAGAAAATTAGAAATGAACTGATTCTTTGTCACCATGTATATATATAATCATCTTATAACAACATATATTTTCATATTTATCAGTCCTCACTTGCTCTTGCTGCACTGCCCAGCATAATGAATGGCAAGCCAGAAATTTTTTATAATCATTTCATTTTTAATTTCTTTATTTATTAACACGTTTTTCTTTACTCAGCTTTGCATTTGTTTGTTGTTAACATTGACAAATGACAATGAATATTAGCCCACTTCTGATTGCTCTAGAGATCTGAAATTCGGCTTTCAGGCTATTTTCACCTAACAATTTCAGATACAATCATAAAAACTAGCAAGAACTTTGCCAAGAAGTTCAAGTGTTCAACCCCATTTTGGCACATTATTAATTTATCTCCTGCAGGCTGCATAAAGTAGCATTTGTAGTCTTTCATCTCCAACATGCACTCCCAGTCCCACATCTATTTTGTAAATCTGTCACATCCGTCCACTGAGTCACTGACACGGTGACCGTGACAGTGGTGACACGGTGACACCGTGCCGAACCGACTACCATTATACCATACCAAATTGCCAACGAGCAACAACGAAGTCTACACTCTTCTTCTTCTTCTTTTGGAGCTGAGGGAGCTCTGGAGACTCGTCCAAGGCAGCCCCCCGACAGAATAGTGCTCAGGATTTGCGCAACTGTGGGAAAAAGGCAGAGATGAGACAATGCAGAGAGCAGCCATGTTAAGAGACTGGAGCTGTTCGACTAAAGAGATATGATTATACTTTGAATTTGAAAAACTAGGTTGAGATAGCATGAAGGTTGTCTATTCTTTATCAGATGGATAGATGATTGTGAGTCACTGAATATAACAATTTTCTCTGATCTTAGGAGATTACACTGGGACCATTTCAAGGCTTCATGTATAGCAAAAAGCTCTGATTCGATTACCTCGACCTCAGGGCGGAGCTTCCAGCTCAGCAAAACACCTTTAGATGGGATGAATAGTGCAGCAGATGTGGATGGTGCCGGGATCTTGATCTGTGACCCATCGGTGTAGATGGCTGTGTGAGTAGAAAATTTTGAGTTAGCAAGGTCAGAAAAAATTTGTAGAGCAGCCTCAGAAGAGGTAACTGATACTGAGGCAGTGCAAAACTGTTCGATAAAATGATCATCTGCATTGAACCAAGGGGGCAGGGGAGATATAAGAGGAGATGTAAGCATATGAGGTTCAGGGATTTGCAGGCCCAGAAATTTCAAGTGCCGTTCCGCAATCCGCAATTATAAGCGGAAAGTTCACAAATTAATGTGAAATTAATCAAGTAGAAAATGAGTTAGAGAAATAGGTTGCCAAAAGTATGTACCGGAAACGTAATTCTAGTCCCTCACGGTAGTTCCTTTACGCTAAAAAGTCACAATCTAGAACATTTTATTTCACCAGTGTGGGACTGAAAAAAAAAACACCGCGTCTTTCACATCAGGCGTGCTATTCAATTATTAAATTTTATACTTTTGCTAAGACTTGTTTAGTCACGAAAGAACTCTACTCTTCCAGAGGAGATTAGAAGAATTGCGTCACGTGTACCAATTGAATCTCTCACAATTCCTCCAAAGATAAAGACGAACTTAAATTACAATTTTTTGTATTTTTTGTTCCGCTGAGTACTAATTTATAATAGAAGGATTGTATAACACGCAACAAAATGAGAAAATTTATTTAGAAACTGAAGAATTCAAAGAATTCTTAGCCATAAACCGAGCATACTCTTTGATCCAGAAAATTATTCTATTTTCCTTGACATTCGTGCAGTCCTTCAATTTCTTGTAACATTCAACCTTCCACTCATCGATCTGTAAGCCAGATCCGGTGCTATCTAAAAGAATTAGAATACATTGATACTCAAGAATCAAATCCTCTAGCGCCTTCGTAGCTATGCTCAAGATTGTTATTCTACTCTCCACAACTTTTAATTTTGATATGTCGGAATTTGACTCCAAGGTCAAATTTAAAGTTCTATCGATGTCAATTGTGTCATCATTTTGAATCGTCCGAGGAATATCTTCAAGTTCGTCGGAGTGGACACGTTTCAGCTGGAATTTATATCTCTGGCGCTCGAATGAGAGTAACTTTTTCAATTTTTCCAAGGCTTCTTCCAGTTTATGCCTGCAGAGAACAAAATTGAAAATAAACATAATTTAGAAATCGATGGTGAGTGAAAATTACAGGGCTAAATGCATGTAGGCCAAAAGCCAATTTTATGGAATACCTACTCCGTATTTGAGTTAAATATTTATCGTAAAAAGCTACATTCTTCCTAGTATAATTAAAATAAATAGGCCTAACTATTTTAACATAATTCTGTCGTGCTCGCTCTCTTTAAACAATTTTTCGGAATACTCCGCATTAACGTTAAACAATTGTCGTAAAAAGCTACATTCTTCCTAGAATAATTAAAATAAATAAGCCTAACCATTTTAACAAAATTTTGTCGTGTTCGCTCTCTTTAAAGAATGGACGCAGATGGAACTATCGGTATTTAGCAGAACATCAAATTTACATGTAATATAGCGGTAGCGGTTTCAGCGTTTAGTAGTCCGTAGGCCTGTCGCCGATTCTTAACATCGCAGAACATTCACAGCATTTTGCGGGCTTGAACTCGCAACTCACTGCTACAATTCTGCTGTGCTTAACCGCCCGGCCTCCTCGCCGATTCTGACCATAATCCAATTGAACAATGAAGCAGCGAGAAGAGAGCCCGCTTGTTGACTCGTCTAGATCCAAAATACTTACTGAACGGAAGCGCTCGTCAATAACTCAAAACGACGACTGCCTTGGCTCTGAACTAGAAGACATGCCGTGCTTCTCTCTTCGGCGCATCTGTGTGAAGAACGCTTATGTCAAAAAGATTTTACCTACAAATTTTTTACTCGAAAGAATTCACCACGATAAATAAGCTTTGCAACAGCCATGAGCGCTGTTGTAGAAAAGCTATCAAAGCAAAAAGCAGATCACATTTTTGGATGCATGGGAGATCTTATCAAAGCTGGTGCATGGGTATTGATTAGTCCACATCCATGATCTCAATAGCAATTCAAAATATGTTCGATGTTGTATAAACATTGTAGATTTCTACCGAAACATGGAAAATTGTCAATAAATGGCATGGCTCCGTGATTGATCCTAGCGTCAATTCAAGAGAATCATTTTTAATATTATTAACAGTAGCTTATAATATTATTATAATATTATTATTATTATAATATTATTATATTAAGTATAGTAGCTTAGAATATTATTATAAGCTACCATTAACCATTATTATACCATTATAAGCATTAAGTAATATTATTCATGGTAGCCACTCTCAAGAAATTTCCATTATTAATAGGTCTCATGGCATGATCATACCCTAAACTTGTGTCTATCTGATCAGAGACGTTCTGGATTCTGTCGAGGCTTCTGGCGAGTCCAGTGAAGAGTTCAGAGAGAGAAGACTCCAGCTCTTCGGCTATCAGCTGACGCTCGTAGCTCGACATAGCTGGTGCGCTGGCACTCATTGCTCGTAAGTGCAGGCAATTAGGAATGATAATTGAATCTGAAATTATGCATAACATACATTACAAAAAAAAACGCACAACAATCTTCACCTTAACAGAAACGAGTTCACACAATTTCGTCATTCCATAACATACATTAAAAAAACACAGCAGTCTTCCACCTTAATAACAGTGAGTTCACACAAGTTCGTCATTACACAAACAACAGGCGAATAAAAGGATTTCGGAGTGGAAATCACACTAGGCTAATTCGAACACAATCTCTTGTATGAAGATATGCACGAGTATGTACGCAGAACGATTTCATGTTCAATCAAATTTGTAAATCTTGCAAATATTTTGAAATCTTTGTGTAAATTGTTATAAGCCCGGTGCCGCGAGAGTTCTTTGAAAGCTTATCTTAGACCCATATCGTTCCGAGATACGACGATTCTAGTCCTGAAAATTTATTCCTTAAGACGGATTAGCAGGGCACTGCTGAATAGGATTGGATCAAAAATTTACATTTGCTATTTTCATAGTTTCTTAAATTCAAAGGTAATTTAAAAATTCACACAAATTCCGTACTACTGTTTTTTACTGTCAACCAAACGTTCCAATTTAAATGTAGAATTTGAATGGGCCTCTTTTTAATTAACACACATATTATTTATTCTTAATAAAGGAATTATTTACAACAGAAATGAGAGATTCGGGATAAAGATATCCTAAAATTGCAGAGATTATAGAGCCCTGGCAAAGCCGGCCATACATTGTATAGCTTTCCACTGCTCGGGAGCCAGGGACAGCAGACGTTCCCTTAGAGATGGCATTCCTGCATCTCTTCCCTGAGCTCATTTTCCCTACAATAAGGAGCGGACGCGCTATCCATGAGATGGCCATAGCAAACATGAGTCAATAGAAGTAAATACCCCTGCAGCCACTAGCTCGAGTCCAAGACTTCAAGGTTACTATGAGAGTAGTAATACTTTTTTAACCCGCAACCACCCGGTCCCGAGGGATGCGGTGACCGACAGCAGCCTGAGCGGACGCCCTCCCCTGCCATGCCACCCTCACTGGTCTGAACACTCGGGTTCGACCAATATGCCATGATTGAATTTAACAAGAGAGCCACGACAACATGTCTCCAACCGTCATTGAATTGTCCAAGCCCTTTTCCCCCCGGCGTGGAGAGGGCAGATGAAAAGATGGATCGTGACTGAAAATAGCGAAGGGAAAATAATACAAATGTAAATAGGAAATGGATAGATTCGCGAAATAATGATGGTGATGCAAACAATGAGCAATTAACAGCGTCATGTGGCTTGGAAAGTAAACCTCAAACTAAACAAAGTCATTAGTTCCGCTGGGTACAAAAAATTTGCCTCCATAATAAATAGGACTTCTGACGCGCACAGACACACGTCAGAAGTCCCCCCTGAGGGGTAACTAACCATAATAAAATTCAAGAGCAGAGGAGAAAATGTTCTGAAAATCACGAACATATCTAGAATTTGGTCACCGTGAGCAGAGTAAACTAAAGCTTGCTAACTCCAGAGCAATAATTGAAAATTCTAAGGCTACTAAACTCTGGCATTCAACTGGATTTAACTTTACAGTAACAGGAAACAATTGACTTACTGAAATAAGTAGGTAGTACCTTTGTCTGGCATCAAGCTGAGGAAAATTAGATATTTTAACGAGGCAAAATTATTATAACACTCCTCGCGAGTACATATGCTGCACACCGAGCAAACACAGCAACAATTACCGAGTTTAAGCATATTTAGTGTATTCCTTAGATTACTATTTATTGTTGTATAATGCAACAAGTACAACGTAATTATCGCAGTTGCTATTGGGTGAACATTTATATTTTTGTTACATTGTTACATAATGAAAAAGCTATCAGGGAGAATTCGCACACACGTATAACATGGCTTCTATGAAGTAAGGGAAATATGATTCTGGTAAATAATAAGTATTTCTGGAGTTCACATTAGCTTCAACTAGAAAGCCAGATCACATGAAGAAATCATGTGTCAATAAGCAATATAATAACTAACCAAAATATCCGCGAAGGTGCGGACAGCGATCATTCTTATTATAGAAGCCACTAACACTGGCGAAGTTACTCACGAAAAACAAGCTCTTGGCCTAAGGAATGCATCGATTTATTCATTAACGAAAAGATAATCTTTCACAAATTGACATTCAATGCTTCAATGAATGTTTTTACATTCAAGAGAGTCTTTCGCTTATCTTCTAAAGAAGTAGAGTCAGAGAGAATTGTTTTAATCGCCACAACGACGTCCGAACGTCCCTCCATAAGTCTAGCAGCAACTCGTGCCTTCTGCACTACAGTAGCAGGAATCTCAGTCTCTCACAAGTTCGTATTCAATGCTTCAATAAATGTTTTTACATTCAAGAGAGTCTTTCGCTTATCTTCTAACGAAGTAGAGTCAGAGAAAATTGTCTTAATGGCCACAACGGCGTCCGAACGTCCCTCCATGAGTCGCGCAGCAACTCGCGCCTTCTGCACTACAGTGACAGGGAACTCAGTCTCTCACAAATTCGTATTCAATGCTTCAATAAACGTTTTTACATTCAAGAGAGTCTTTCGCTTATCTTCTAAAGAAGTAGAATCAGAGAAAATTTTCTTAATCGCCACAACGGCGTCCGAACGTCCCTCCATGAGTCGCGCAGCAACTCGCGCCTTCTGCACTACAGCGGCAGGGATCTCAGCGAGACGAGCGGCGTTGAAGCCGTAAGATTTAGGGCAGACTCCTTCGCAGAACTTGTACAGGAAAGTGATGGTCTCTTCTTTACCAGTCTCTTCATCTGCTTCTTCCACCATGCACGACTGAGAAGAAAATCAGGTTAAAATCACTTGTCAATCACGATTGCATTATAGGGATTCATGGTAATGACGGTACGTGTAGGGTTTTAAGGTCCAAGATGTTGTGGTCAGAAAGTTGCAGTTTTTGTCACATTTTTAGCGCATTTTCTCTTTTATGGAAAAAATGAGCTATTGTGCTCGTCATGTCCGTCCGTCTGTCCGTCCATGATCACGTTTTCGTCGACGTGAAAATGCGCTCTCTGTCACTCACTACAGTGCGTACTGAGTTATATTTTTTCGAAGGTTTATCTTTTCAAATGCTCAGATAAGAAAAGTCTCGGGAATAAAAAATCGAACATATTTAGATGTATATTGCGCCAAATTTTAACTCATTGGTTTTAGAATAAATTTTTCTTTTAAAACACTTAAGTGAATTTTGTTATCAGCAAGGCGATCGGAATATTAATGCAATCGGAGAAGAATTTCTTATATTCAACATTTCATTGGATAGATTAAGAGTTGAAATTGTAACTTTAAGGTAAGACCTTCCTAAAAATGGTTGAACTTTATTAAACTTATACCGAGAAAGATTCTAATTTAGCAAATGAACAGAAAAGAAAAAACGTTATCATGATCAGGTGGAGGAAGGAAATGAAACGTTATCATGATCAGG